TTTGCACTTTGCTTTGATCTCTGAACATTACACCAATTTCCAGACTGCTTCTGCTCCACCTCAAGAACACTTTGAACAACTTTTCCACTGATGGCCGATTGTCTACCATAGGCGGCTATCAACCACTAATACTGGCCGGTCAGCCACTATTTCTGGCTGTCGGCCACCCTTTCCCTGGGATTCTCCTTTTTGTTGTTCAAAGCAGTGTATTCTCAAACAATATATGTATTATTACCCTCCTTATCATTTCTCAAGCTCAAAGGAGTTTAATTCTTGGCACTTAAGCCATCAATCAAGTGTTTTCAATGCATGATGGCTAGAAAACCAAGCTTGTACAAAGTCAATGAATGTAGAAATAAGACTCAAAGGACCACCACCCTATCATGCATGATCAAGGGTGATGGCGATCAAGAAACGTGACACGTTTCATCACTCACTGTTAAACTGCTCACGGCATTCATACACTGTATTCTGCATTGCATTCTGCACTGATAGACTGCTCACGGCATTCATACACTGTATTCACACACTGCATTCTGCACCGATAGACTGCTCACGGCATTCATACACTGTATTCAACATTGCATTCTGCACTGATAAACTGTCTACAGTATACTGATGCATTTCACTTTTGTGCACTTTTTCAGCCTCCTTTCCAGATTCCCATGGCAGGAGGTGCTCCAGCTAGACCTGCTGTCCCTGCTCGGGGGGGAGACGAGGAGGGTAGGATATTTCCCCGCACTAGGGGTGGGCGTACTCACGTCGGGAGCAGCTCGCGAGCTCCAGCCCCGGACGATGATGACGACGACGAGGAGTCAGAGGCGGAGGCAGGGTCATCGGAGGAGGAGACCGGAGACGGCTCTAGCTCTGGCTCTGACGACGTTGCTGATGATGCTCCTGGACCCTCGTCCAGGAAGAGGACTAGGACGGACTGACAGCCCTTGGAGTGCTTGACATAGATGCAGATTTCTGCTATCTTTTCTTTCTTTCCTTGTACTTTTCTTTTTGGTTGGTAGATAGATTACCTTGTACCGCCGCAGGCAGATTTTGTTTCCAAAGCTTGTACATTTGAAAAGATAGTGAAATGTAGCGGACTTTTTATCTGAAAAAGTGTTTACATTTACACATTTCATGCGTTGCATCGCATCTCATCATATTACACCTCAATGTAAATGAAATTGATTAGCTGTCTGAAAATTGAACACTTGCACTGCAATAATCAGATAACTTAAACAGCCAACAACAAAATAACCCAAGCAACCCACTGCCTGATTCTTGAACACACAGCCCTTACTCTGTTGGGGATTAATCTGCAAACAGCCCATAACACAGCATTCGATTCATTCTGCACACGGCAAATTCTCAAACAAGCAGCCCAATCTGACAAGACAGAGCTCAAAGATGGAACCGGTTGGAGTCGAGACACGTTCAAATGTAGAGAATGGCACAGCATTCTGAGCATAAGCGATTTTTGAAATCGAATGAGGGTTTTTCAAACCGGGATATCGAGCCTACCACTGAACACAGCAGGGAGGACTCAAACAAAGAGGTACACGACCTAAACACCACGAGACACGCTCGGGAGAGACTCAAAACAAAAGACGAGACCGTCAAATCAAAGAAACACGACACACAGACGCGTGAACGAAGATGGGAGACCTCGGACCACGAGGAGCCAGTTTCTCTGGGTATTTTTTCCCACCCTTTCTGATTTGTGATTCTCACATCACTCGGCTCTCAAGCTCGGATTTTCTCTCAAAACCCTTTTCCTCACTTTTCTCTCAACTTACACCTCTCTATTCTTCATTCTCTCATTTTTCATCCCTCTCCGGGGTGATTGATGGATAAATAGCAAGGTGTAGGTTCACGCCCGATGCCGTTAGCTCACAGCTATTCTTCCGGCAGGCAGAGTGCTCTTCTGGCAAGTACGTCGATGGCGGGGGAAAGACAGAACGCCTGGCTCAACTGTGCCCCTAGTTCATCATTTTAACCATTTTTTGTTTTGGCTTCTACTAAAACGTAGTTCATCATTTTAACCATTTTTTTCGTTTTTGCTTTCTACTAAAACGGTTTTGATCAAAATGAGAGTCGGATTAACGTACTTGTTCAATTTCTAACTTGAAAACCGTGCAAGTCAGGCAGCAAGCACTGAAAATTTTCCTTTTTTGGGTCCAAGACAATGGTCCGATTTTGGAAAAATGGAATAGTTTTCGAGAAAATAGTCAACTTCAGTAAAAATTTTCAAAAACTATTTTTCAAACAGCTGATGCTCAACAAGCATGGAACTTACCCTTTGAGATGCGCAACCTTGGATCGGAGGCAATGGAAAATTGCCCCTGGTTTGAAGGGAGTGGGAGGCAATGGAAGGTTGCCCCTAGTTTGAATGGCGTCTCACGACGGCTTGTGGCAACGGAAAGTTGCCCCTTGTTTGGATGGTGCCGCAGCAGTCCGCAGACAGTCTTCATTGGCGGTGATCGAACTCTCAGACACAGCGATGACGAAGACGATCACAACACATATATGGACACAGTCGCCTTGGGAGCGTTGGCGACTAGACTTCGGGATGAAATCGAAACCATTGCATGGACTGAGACGCTTATGAAAGCGTTGGGGGCTGGACTTCGTGATGAAGTTGCCTACGTATCCCAAACATGGGAATTAAGCCTTACGTAGTTCCGGTTAAGGTCCACTCGGGTATTTTAACCTTCACTTGGTTTGGCTCTCACTTTTGCCAAGGCGCCCAATGCGGGTTTTCGACCTTGCGAGCTTCTTTTCATTTTCTATTTCTTTTTCTTTTTTTTTCCTTGCTTTTTCTTCTTTTTTCTTTTTCAATCTTTCTTTTTGTATTTTTTCTCTTTTTTTTGTATTTTTCTCTTGCTCTAACTTTTGCCTGGGCCGCCCTTCCAGGTTTTCGGCCCAACGAGCCTCTCAAAGGGTAAAAGTGTAGCAAGTCCATGCCAAATGGTTTTTTGAAATTGAAGCCTCCCTGTGTCTAGGAGAACGGCTGTTGCACTGATTTGCGGAGAATCCATCAAGGTTGCTCCACGAGCTTCTTCCGGCGAGATCTACTCCTTCTGATTTGGCTTTGATGCTTCTTGATCGAAGGCTACCTCAAAACTGGCCACACGGGCCTTTCATGGCGTTTGTCTGTTGAACTTTCTGAACATTCTGAACGGGTTCAAGGTCGGAAAACAAACAGGTTGGATCTTGAGGCTGAGAACGATCCTAGGCTGCGCGACCTCAAGAGCGATTCCACACAGGTCTTCGCAGGGCCGCGTAAAACATTTGCTTTTGAAAGTTTTTAAGAAGGCGACGAATCGCTCGCGCCGAAGATAGTGCGGAAACAATCTGGATCAGGCCAGGATCCTTCTCAGTACTCACGCCGACAAGCATGGCTTTATTCATAAAAAGGCTTAGCACGCCTCTCTTTCTCTCAAAATGATCAAAATTTTACAAAACCCGAGGAATTCCTTCCTCTTCGTTTTCATCACCGCAGTGTTTAAAAGTTTGTTTTTTGAAAAACTTAGGTTAATGCAATGAGTTTGGGCACACAGGAGAGCAGGCGAGATGTACTGTCAGCCCATTCAAATTCTCTGGTCCTTATGCTGAAAGCAAGCATGAATGTTGAGATAGCAACAGCTGTTTCAATCGGCTCTGTTGGTGCAACTGGCCCCTCGGCAGAAACAGACTCAAAACAAAAAAACAGATAATAATTACAAAACAAAATGGTGTTCGGGACAACAACCCCAGAATCACCTGGTATTATATACAACGGGAACTAACTCGATACAACAAGACAGACCCTTAAGCAAAAAAAGACTGACTCAAGACAAAGAGACAGACTCATAACAAAA